CCAAGCTTGCTCAATAAGATTGGCGATTTCAAAATTAATTAAAAATTATAAGTCCAGGTCACCTCACGATATTTACCTTCACCGTAAGTCTAAATAAACTTTGAAAGTGCATGTAAGTATGTGTATGTACGTAAGTAGTTACAACACTAAGGTCCAAATTTGAACGAACATGTCAAACATAAATACTAGTGTAAAACTAAAATAAGCTCGGTCCAGAGAGACCAATAAGTTCCTTATTGGAAACAGAATTAGTGTCAAAATGTCTATTGCGAACTTAGGTCAAGTAACCACTAGCAAAATGCCACAATTTTCACTTAAAAATGTAATTTTTGGTGCTGACTGTCTATTTGGTCCGTGAAGCGGTTGAGGACAATTTTAATTCAGGTAGACAATCTTTTCAAAAATAGATAGACTATTAATAACCTTATTTACGTTTCGTTTTTCCAAAATGCGTACAGGTCTATTTAGGTGATAACTTTACTAATGCATTATCAGAACATGAAAGTAAAAATAATGCTAAACTATGCAAATTGCTAAAATTACACATAAATTACACATAAAAAAAAACTAGTTTGTACTACCTTAATCTGCATCGATACACCAAAAACCAAATGGTTCAAAATCTCCAAAAACAACCTTACACAAAATATTTCAAAACTAAAGAAAAGGAACTTTAATGTAACAAGAATCCATTTCATATTGAAAGAAATTGGAAAACTGCAAATGCGAACAGTATGGAAGACCTTAATATAAGAGATCGGTCGACTTGCCCGTCTCTCCGGGAAATAATCAAGTCAAACCGAGAACCGACTTTTTGTTCCTTTAAGGCCAGTATGTGACATAGAATTCAATATTGAACGCTTAGAAACTGACTAGTTAGTCTGGACTGTCTTTTGTTATTCCAGATTATTCGATGCTTAAAACTGGCGTTCATAATGTAAGTGTTGTCTTAAATTCAGAAATATTATTTGATGAAAATTATGCCGTTGATAACTTCAATTGTTTTTTTGTCTCTTATAGACAGATCTCTAATAGAAACACCAAGTTTGAAATTGGAATACAAATATTAACTGTAAGATTGCGGTGTGACCGACATTAATTATATTTTCATTGTAAGTATATGATATTGGTAGTTAGGTGGTTCCAAAAAATTACAATATAGGTTTTTTTGGGATACGTACTATACTTAGGCAAACAATTGGCACCGTCCATCGTCATTCACAACAATAAAGGAATTCGGTCTTTTATGGTTCTTTGGCATTTAATGATAGGAGTTTGGGGAATAAGGATAGAATAGATACTTCACTCACAAGCTGGATCACAAAGAAAGTTTTGTTACACGCCGGTATTTTGTGAGGCTGTGTGGTATCACTCCGGTGAAACTAGCCCAATCGTGCCGAGGCCTAGCTCTTTCACGTTTAAATTACGACACAAATGTAACAAACTTAGACATTTGAAAATATTTGTCGAAATAAACAAAATCTTTTGGAATTTACTCCCAAAACTGCGGATGTTTTGGATGTCTCCCAATCCTAAGTTCGGCGACCGACAACCATAAACAGTAGATTTCCATAATGAGAAAACTTGTCGACCTAATAATAGTGATATCTATTTAGGTCTTACGTAAACTGAGTTGTTTGAAAGAAGAATGGACAGATCTTGATTAGTCATGATCTAACTCGATTAGTTAGGTGAAGAAAAAAATAAGTGTGATATTTTTATTTGTTTAGTGTCAGTATCGACTAAGTTTCTGAACCACAGTAAATGGGATCGAACATATCAAGTGCGCCATTATAAACTTATGTAGCCAAAGTTCACATATTCTGTAATACAAAAAGTAATTGCAAAAAGGTGTTGGTAAGCATATCTCCACAAGTATTTTTTTTAAGTAATAGGTCTATTCCCCTGATATTCAGGAGAATAGACCTATGAAAGAAAATTTTAGAAAAGTAGAGGTTTTGTTAACGTCACAAAATCATTGATACAAGGTCCTTGGGTACCTTGTCTGGGTCTTCAACTGAAGACCTGTGCAAAGCGAAAACGGACCCCGGCTAGGTTGAAACTATAAATGAATTCCAATAAACGTGACAATATTAATATTCTCTCAAAAACTATATGACAAAACTCTCTTCTGCGTCATTATCCTGCAACTTTCCTCGCCCAAAGTCCTTAACCAAAACAATTGTTCTCAGTGAACGAATAAAATAATACGATCAAAAAGTATCAATTTGAAATCGGACCCATATGGAAAGTGGAACAAATATGAGGAATGCAAGTAACAGCGATCGTTGAAGCGAAGAATATAAAATGAAGACGTCTGGGAAACGCTGAATATGTGAATTTTAGTGACTGGAAATGATATTGAGAGTTCATCGGGAGCATTGGTTGAGGTTTTGTCTTTAATATTAGGCTGATTTCCCACTACTTAATTTGTAGTATAGCTGTCTATTTTTGTGACGATGAAATAGAATGCTTTGATAACACCATTTTACTAACAACTATGGCATTTTTAGTAGAAGCAAAGAAGAAGAAGACAAACTTGAATCTTTTTAAATTGCGATCTCTAAAAAGTCTTCCATCGTGGAGAATGTAGTAAACCCTCCTCCTCCGTAGAGGGAGAGCAAGAGCATTTGACTGTCACGTTGTTATCCAGATTATTTAGTTTTGGTGTTGTAGTCACAGTTGGAAAGGATGGCTATGATTTCCATGATACAATTACTCTTCATTAAGTTAAAAGTCTGGACGGAAAGATTATCTTAATCATATAAATATAACTACACAACATCTGAAATAGCAGGAAAAGTAAAAAAATCGTTGATCCAATCTTTCTGCTCCCTCAATCCCAAAAACACCAAATCCCTAAAATCCCCAAAAGACTCTTGCGTTGTTACGAGTGTCCACGGCAGCGATGATTGCTTAACATCAGGTTGGCTGGTTAGCCGTCTTATGACATAGAAAAAAAAGTTAAAATTCCATAATCGCTTTAAAGTAGTGATGACAATGAACACAGGGATATAAAACAAAAAAGAACTGCAAATAATAATACTACCTAAAAGTACAATTCGAAACTGAAATTCAACTATAAAATATCTATTGTAAGTGAACAGCATCACAGAGGCAACTGAACCGATTTGGAAGAACATCGTCCGAAGACTAATATCAAACACGGTGTTGAGCAAACTGTTGCAAGTGAGAATGGAACTTGGAGTTTTAAAGACGAAGTTTTAAGCACAGTTCAACATAAACTTCTTTATGCTATTTGAATAAAGATTCGATTTTGAGATCTTGAAACTATCTTTGCTGTCTGAATAGTGAAGTTTTGGGAGTATTTGAATGACTTTAGCTTATTTGGTTAGCATTTCTGAAAAGCAACTATTATGAGACATAGTACATTTATTTGACACTAACGGTTACGCAACGTCTGCTGCGCGCACGCTGCTCATGAACACGCGCCCCGTTGTTAGTAACGTATCACGTATGTTAGTCATTTTTTAATATGTTGGTTCCAATCGAATCGTCTAGAACAAATTATTTTGGATTTTAAGTATAAGTAATCTCAACTGAAACATATATGTTTAAAGTAGAACCCCGGAAAGGTTATTTTATTTGCTTTTTCAAAGTCGCTCTTTTTATCCCCAAGAGATACATTAGGCAGGAGTGCAAATAATGTGCATACAGTGCCAAACACAGTATGCCCATTTCTCATAGGTTATATTATGAGTATCATGTATCTACCTTTTTTTTTGTAAGGGGAAAATCATCAAATGACTTCTCCCGCCCAGGGCCGGAGGATTGTTAGACTCTTATTGACTAAAAACCCCCCTGTTCCTTCTTCTGCTCTGGGCCGAGGTCGCGGTGCCTCATTGTGCTTACCCTGCAATCCCGGATGTAGCAGAGGGTCAGCTTTTTATCCCAATAATACTTTGCCCGAGCAAGTAATCGAAACCCCTTGAGGAGACCAATCGATCACGGAATAATTTTCTGTTCTGTGCAATCGATCAACGAGACAGTGAACAGCATTTTAGTATTTGTATGCAGGGTGCCATTTTGTACGAGGGACATATTCAAGGGCCCGATTCTGGTGCTCACATAAAACAACTTTTTCCATAAGAACAGTAAGGAAAACTCAAAAAAGTTTACTAAAAATCGCGGGTTACTCACGGGTTACTCACGTAAGCCCCTCGTTGAAAATACAATCCTGTACATGAAAAGCATAATTCGGCATTAAATTAGCCAATTTTAAGTATTGGACTTCCATAAAATTATTATCATAAGGCGATAATTCAGGACATAATATAATAATAATAACAAAATCCTTAAATAAAAAGCAATTTCTTTCTTCATACGAAAAAAAGTAAGTAACGAAAGCGATAGTCCATACATCCTTACTCCTTACTCACAATAAAGCTTAAGAACACAGAAACCCTGCGAATCCTATGACAGGATATTCCGATCATGATTTATGACTGACGGATCTCCATATTGGGATTAAGGAAGGCAGGCAAAAATGTATTAGCTTTCAAATTCACATGCCAATAACTCGTCACCCTGATCGACACATGAATAATGTTTGCCCTTAGGAACATGAAATCGCGTTGTCGATTATCTCAACCGAAACCGAAAAGGATTTGAAATATGATGGATTATAAATGCCTAGCTTTTTTATACCAATTGTACACAAAATTGAGGCTGGAAGCAAAACCAAACACCCTTTAGTCTTTTGGGATGTTATTAGCGAGTGTAAAACTTGTTAAGAAGCTGCGTAAATCTGCACGCTGCGGGTCCAAACGCCGCTGTTGAAACGCAATGTCACTGTTAATCACTGTAGCTAGGCAATAGAACACAGTTATAAATATAGCGGCCATTTTTAATTTGTAATTTGCTGTGCTGGTATTTTTTAGGATTTAATCTGCAATTTTTTTCTTAGTAGTAAGTTCTGTGAGGAATAATAAATCAATCAAATCAAAGTACCATAAAAACCAAATATCACAAAGAAGTACCTGGTAAAAAGTGCCGCGAAAAACCAGACTAGTGCGCAGATGAGTGTTGCTCTAGTCTTTGTGCAGACGTAGCCAGCGCGTAGAGGTTCACAGATCGCGTAGTACCGCTCAAAACTGATCGCCAGGATGGTCAGAACTGATGCATGAGTCACTGTCAGCTCCACAAAAGGTACTGCTAAACCTGGGAAAGAGAATTTTAAGTTAGTAAAGTTCTTTTCTATGACATTGTAATACTGCATATTGCTATGAATCCTCATCATCATTTAAATCGTGGTATAATGTTTGACTACACAGTAGATGAGAACTTGCGGACGTTTGTAAATATACCCATGGACACTCGTTGTACTAAAGGAGTTACTACAAGTGTGTTGTCGGCCACTTGTGTATTAACCCTTAAACACAATTTTTTTGTGCCGGGAGTACGATTACATTTGTTTAACCAAAAACCAAATATTGTGCAGAATGTACCATAGCCCATGTCCTGTAAACTTTATTCGTCTCATGTTTCGTACGTACTAGTATCTGCCAGATTCCTATTTATTATTCCAGATTTTAATCTATATCTGTGGCAGATTTCATTCAGATCTATTCAGTGGTTTTTACGTAAAAGAGGTTACTCTTTTACGTAAAAATTAAAAAGAGTTTGTTAAAACTCTCGTGAAATTGGTAAAACAAAAACGGATGCTAAAGTTAAAAAAAATAGGTCAGTCACTGTTACAATGGCATTTTTTTTTCGATTAATTGTTCGCTTAGATTGTTTTGTTCAATGAAATTAAAATCTATCTCTAGTATTTACTTAAGGAAGAAATGTTTTAAGTAAGAAAGCCAGATAGATATTAAGTTTTCCCATTAGTTACTCTTTAAAACGGTAAAGTGCGAAATCATGTCGTTTGAATATTTTTTGGGTTTCATAATGCCTGGCTTTCTAGGCTATATTGTAATTAGTTCAAAGTGCCGTTCAATCTGACTTAAGGTGCTCCCACACAGCAGTTATATAACGTTATACAACATTGTGACATTTATAACAGCGTGTAACAATACTCTACAACATGTTAAGAAATGTTATATGTTATAAACGCTCCCAAATTAGTTGAACTCGTTGTATAACATCGTATAACATTATGTTCAATCAGTTCGGGTTTGTTTTTCGAGGAAGGTGGTAGTGAACTAATAATGGAGTAGATATAGAGTAGTGTAGAGTATAGACTAATATCATATTCTAATCAGTTGTAAAACATTTTGTTAAATGAAGTTGTATAACATCAATAACAATTTATTATAATTTGTAACAATTTATAACTTTTGTTATAATTTGCTTAAAAAAGTTAGTCTCTAACGTTATATAACTGCTGTGTGATAGCACCTTTACGCCATTTATTCTAAAATGAACCGGAGATGGTATGAGCTGATGGCACATAAATTTTTTTTTTTTAAGTAAATAGCCGAAGAAAGTTTTAGTTTAAACTAAAACTTTCTTCGGCTATTTCTCTCCTGCATTTCTCAACCCAGTGGTATCACTCCAGTTAAGTCGACCCATTCGGCACGAATGGGTCGACTCAACTGGAGTGATACCACGGACTCACAGAAAACCGGCGTGAAATAACCACAGCGTTGTGTTTCACCGTGTGAGTGAGGTTACCGGAGGCCCTATCCTTCCTCTCCGCTGATCCCTCCCCAATCCCTAAATCGCCAAAACCCTAATCCCTAAAAGGTCGGCAACGCACTCGTAACTACTCTGTTGCGGGTGTCCATGGGCGGCGATAATTGCTTACCATCAGGTAATCCGTTTGCTTGTTTGCCGACCTATTACATAAAAAGAAAACAAAGAATTATTGACGACTTAAACAATGATATTACGAAGGTTCATAATTAGTAAACAGTAAATAATTTAGTACTCAACGATAAAAAGACAAAGTGTATACATATTCAGTTTGCCAGATGTTAAAAGTAACAAATGTCAGATTTTAAAACGGTAAGAAATAAGATTGTGTAAATCAAACTAACAATTTTCGACTGGACGGTTGGCCCAGTGGCTGGGTGACTGGTTGCCGCGCAATGTCTCGCGGTTTCGATTCCCGCACGGGACAACTCTGTGTGATCCACAAATTGTTGTTTCGGGTCTGGTTGGTGCGTGTATGTGATATTGTATGTTTGTAAACGCACCCACGATACAGGAAAAAATCCTAATGAGAGGCAAAGTTTTCTTTTAATTTTTTTCTTATAAAAGCTTCACCTTTTCATGAAAAGTCAGGTGAACTGGAAAATAATTGAAAATAATAATTATTTCAGTGCAGTTTTTAATTTTAAATGTAACTCGTTAGTGCCAGCCCACGTGCGACGTAATAACATGAAATGTCAGTAACGTCAGTTGGGAAATAGGTTATAATGTCACGTTGGTTGTCATTGGAAATTTTATGTAGGTCTGTGGAGCATTTGATTTTTGTTATTTTTTTTATAAAATATTGCACCACTTTAGGGTTTCTTCCTGTGTCGTGGTTGCGTTTACAAACATACAATTTTGAAAAAAGAAAAGACATTATTTGTTATAAAGATTATTTCTTCATTAAAATATTGTTTCCCTAAAGTCGGATTTTTTCTGTGTATACTTTGCAAACATTGATTTTACGAATGTTACCCAAAATACATCATCGACAAAAACGAACTATTCGTTTTTGTCGATGATGTATTTTACATGCACTTATTTCAAAAGAGCACACTCAAACCAAGAACCGTTTTAATCACGACGTTGTGCAGAAGCTGATGCATTAACAATTCCGTCAAAGGATTTGAGTGACAGATTTTGCTCCTCAGTATTGCAACTGTCTATGGGCGATGCCGAATGCTTACCATCAGCCTAGGTGACATTTGTGTTTGCTTGCCACCCTGTCTAAAAACATATAAATATTTTTTTGGAAGAACTCTCCAAAATATGTAGCAATCGGGAAGAAAAAACGAAAATATCAATAACTTCAACTTTCAAAAAGAATGTCCAAAGTCTATATAATAAAGACTACATATAAATCACTAAATCGATTCTCGATAAGAATTTCGTGAGCCATAAAATCGAGAAAGCTGTTTTTCCGATGTCGATGGTAGGTATGATAGAACAATAGGCAGTACTTTTGCAATGTGTTGGATTTGAAAACAATGGAGTAGGTATCCTTTTATCATGTTATGATGTTTTTACAGGACTTCTTTATAGGAAGACATTAATTGTTTTCTTTTTTCTTGAAAATTTCCAGTCGTTTGTGTACCTATCGTATGTCGCATTACATTGTATTAGTTTCGAATTTCAAACGTTCAAAGAAAAAATGATGTTTTTTACTGGAAAATACTTTATTTGTTTGAAAAAGTGTGGGAGAGCCATGCTTTGGCACGAATGGTTCAGCTCGATTGGAATGATATCACAGCCTCACAGAAAACGGCATGAAACAAACACAGCGTTATACTCCGTCAAGCGAGTGAGGTTACCGGACGCCATATCCTTAGGAGATGTAGGGATTGGAAAGAAAATTCTAATCCCTAAATCTCCAAAACCCTAATTTCCAAAAGGTCGGCTACTCTCTCGTACTGGGCTTGTTCTATGGGCGTGAAACAACCACAGTTATGTTTCGCCTTGTGAGTGAGTTTACTGGTGGCCCAATCCTTCTCCTCCCCCAATGCCAAAATCTCCGAATCTCCTAACCCCGAAAAGGTCCGCAACGCACTCATAACTAATCATGCTGCTGCTCGTATTTATGCTGAGCGCTGCTCCTTTTCGCGCATGAGTGACGCAATTGCAGTACTTTTCTTTTTTTATGTTCATTGTTTGTTTTGTCCTTATATAGCCATATTTGTGTGTGTTGGTTTCTTTTGTCATTTGTATCCGAAATAAATGGTTTTTCTTTCTTTCTTTCTTTCTCTCACATAAAAAAGTTTTTTGGTGATACCTATGCATGGATTTTTAAGTCATGCTAGGTATATGTAAGTCATTATCAGTTTTACAGGTGCGCGTACGTATTATACTCGTATTCTAAGCTATCGCCAAAATTGACAATTAGGTTTGTAAGTACCTAGACACAAATAGTTCTGTTTATCACTCCAGGCAACAATACAACTAAATTTATAACCATTCAAAAGAAGGTTATCAATCAATAAAAGCACTTAAAATCATTCCATTAAGGATCTAATTTAGATTCCTGTAGAGTAATAGGAAAACGGGGTTTCGGTTGGAATAGTTAAATGTTCGACAAAAACACTTTTATCTTAAAGCAATAAATCACGTTATACCGAACAGCCTGTATTTAGTGGATAATGCAAAAACTATTAGCAGTAATGCGGGTGTGATTAATTCCTGTCGTATCTACGCTGTTTTGGGTCCGTCGGAAACCATTTTACTAGTAAACTATGTTCAAATTTTTGAACAGTGATTGCGCGTTTTTGGGTTCTTCGAGTACTGACTAATGATAAACGGCGTCTTGTAAAACCACAACCATTATTTTATAGAAAGAAAAAAAAAGAAAGAAAGAAGAACCATTTATTTATACAATCTAATTACAACAACTTTTATATTTTCACTTAGGTTTACTTTTTACCCTGAATTCATATTAGGGTGAAAAGCGATGAGTTAAATATAAATCACACAGTAAATCTGAAGGTATCTGATAAGAAAACATTTTTTTTTAAAAAAAACGACGTTGCCTCACACTAGGATTTTCTTCTGTGTCGTGGGTGCAGTTACAAACATACAAATTCACATACACATCACACCCAGACCCGGAACAACAATTTGTGGATCACACAAAGAGTTGTTCCGTGCGGGAATCAAACCCGCGGCACGTTGCACGGCCACCGAACCAACCGTGCAGACAATTAAAAAACATTAGGTACATTTTTTTAAGCAGTGTTTGCTAGGGCAACACTGTAATGGATTCATGGACATGGACATTTCGTTTTTTAAGAATTTGGGGTAAAAGCGTACAGCTTAACATTAATTATGGTCATGAAAATTAAACGTGTATATTTAGCTTAATCGGTTAAAGACATCAAGTAACTAAATTTTGCATACATAGGTACACTGCAAGTTAGAATAATATCATAAAATAAATAATACACGACTACTACGTTATCCAATTTTGTCCTGAAATACAACAGGACCAGATTTATGATCACCATACTAATGTCTGTAAGAGATCGCCTTGT